ACCACTCTCAGTAGGACCTGAGTCACCAGTGACCTCAACCGGCGCAGTCAAGGGAGGAGGGTCTACCTGAGAAACACCTGAAGGAGCAGGACCGGGAGCGAGGAGGGGGTCTACCTGGGGAGCACCTGGAGCGAGGAAGAGCGGCGGGGGGGGGAGCGAGGCAGTGCGGTAGGGGAAGAGACGGTAAAAGGGAACCGACTCGTCGAACGTGACGTCCTGAGACGCAAAGATACGGCGCGAGGTGGGGTGGTAAAACTGCCAACCAGGCGCGTCAGGGACAAAGCCAAGGAAGACACAGGGAACAGCGCGGACGGAGAGCTTGTCCGCGGTGGTATCGCGGACAAAGGCACGAGCACCCCAGACCCGGAAACGCGACGCATCGCCAACCTTCCCCGTCCACATCAGTGTGGGCGAGGTCTCCGGCAAGGAGACACGGGGCCAGAGGTTAAGCTGATGCGCGGCGTACCGGACCACAAACGGCCACAGAAAATGGGGGGCAGCCGCATGGATCAGGGAGGTACGAGCGACCTCCATGACTAAGCCAATGCGGCGCTCAGCAACCCCATTCTGCTGCGGAGAGGCCGGAAGCGTGAACGACTGGGTGATGCCGTGCTCCGCACAGTAGGCTGCCAAGAGGTTGGAGGAGAACTCACCACCTCTGTCAGAGTGCAGACGCAGGACAGGAAAGTCCGACCGGAACCGCTCGCGGAGCTGGAGACGAACTGCGCGGATCCAGGGGATCAAAACAGCAGGGACATCCGCCTTGCTCCGCAAGGGGAAGACCGTGGTGTAACGCGTGTAGTCGTCGACAACCAGCAGGAAGTACCGCTCGTGGCCCTGTCCCTGGACGCGGGCTGGGCCCCACACGTCCAGGTGGAGCGTCTGCAGTGGAGCCTCTGTGGGAGGAAACGAGGAGGAGTGAGGAGCGGCGCGCTGCCGCCCCTCGACGCAAGGAATGCAGGGCGGCGCAGGCGAGGGAGGGAGGGCAGGCAGAGACCTGGGGAGACCAGAGACCAGGGAGCGAGAGTGCATGCTACGCAGGCGAGGCAAGGAGGGGTGACCAAGACGGTGGTGCCACAGGAGAGTGTCGTGCGACAAAGCGCGACACTCGCAGGGGGCCGCCAGCTGACCAGACGTAGACGCAGACGCAGCTACCTGAGGGGACGCAGTGGTCAGTGTGTACAGACTCGAGCCAGGTGCACGGGTGAACGTGGCCAAGTGCCGGCCCGTCCTAGCACACGTACAGTGAGTCACTCGCTGACTCGCAGGAGTGAACTGGTGAACCCCCCCATCCTGGAGGTTAGCTCCACTCACCAAGTTCGTAGAGAACGAGGGGAGGTAAAGACCTGACAGGAAGCCAGACGGGACGGCCGGACACGGCAGAACCGTGGAGTAGTGGGCAAGGACTGGACCCCCAGAGGGGTCCGCCAGGGAGACCGGGACTGGCCGACTGAGCGGCGTGAGTGCGGTGCAGTCGCGAAAGAAGGAGCGGGAAGCTCCTGAGTCAAGGGTGAAGGTGTGCGAGACCGCAGTGGGCGCAGTACCAGAGAGAGCAGACTCACCAGCACCTGAAGCCACGGCCTCACCAGTACCTAGAGCAGTAGACGTACTAGCACCGAGAGCAGCAGCCTCACCAGCACCTAGAGCAGGAGACGCACTAGCACCTAGGGCAGCAGCCTCACCAGGGTCAGGCGGTACGCACAGGTAACAGGCACGGTCAGCACTAGTAGACAAGGCATACATGGCAGTGAGAATAGCATCATAGTCAAGCGCAAAGATATCTACCCTCTGTCCATGCAGCTCCAGCCAGGTGGGGAGCTCAGCCTCGTCGCCAAACACTGTGCGCCAGTCGTCGCTCAGACGGGCGAAGCAGCGGGACTGTGTGTGACCAAGCGTCCCACAAGGCTGACCAGTCCTAGCACCTGTGCGAATGACGTACGGGCAGCGAACTGTACGTGTAGACCTGCTACACTGAGCGTACCACTCCTGGAGCTGCCGAGGCGTAAGTGGCTCGCGTGGACGCCCCTGCAGCTGCAGCTGGCCACTGCTAGACGCTCCCAACTGACCAGCCCCAGGGCGACAGCTACGACGGCTACCGCGACAACCCCAGCTAGTATACCACTCACTAAGCTGCTGGGGCGTGAGAGGCTCGCGGGAACGTCGCTGGAGCTGCATCTGGCCACCTGCCAGTAGCAGTAGCAGCAGCAGCAGCGCGGGCAGGGCAGGCGTGGCAGGCAGGCAGGCAAGCAGGCAGGCAGGCAGGCAGGCAGGAAGGCAGGCAGGCAGACAGGCAGGCAGGCAGGCAGGCAGGCAGACAGACAGGCAGGCCGGCAGGCAGGCAGGCAGGCCGGCAGGCAGGCAGGCAGGCGCGCAGGCAGGCAGGCAGGCCGGCAGGCAGGTAGGCAGGCAGGCAGGCAGGCAGGCAGGCAGACAGGCAGGCCGTCAGGCAGGCAGGCAGTCGCTCACCAAAGGCTGGGAGAGCAGGCGCTCACCGGGCGAGCAGGGCCGGCGCTCGACAGCGGCGACGTCGGGGCCGCAACACCGGCTGCAGAGCAGGGCCGAAGCAGCTGCAGGGCGGGGCCGCTTCAGCGGCAGTAGCAGGGTGGGGCCGCGTCAGCGGCAGGTCGGGGCCGTGGCAGCTGCAGGGCGGGGCCGCGTCAGCGGCAGGTCGGGGCCGTGGCAGCTGCAGGGCGGGGCCGCATCAGCGGCAGGTCGGGGCCGTGGCAGCTGCAGGGCGGGGCCGCATCAGCGGCAGGTCGGGGCCGAGGCAGAGGGCCGCGCGCGGCTCGGCGCGGGCTGCGCTGACAGCGCGCTGAGCTGCTGCAGGCCGCGCGCGGCCGCGCTAGGCAGTAGCGGGCCGCGCGCGGCTCGGCGCGGGCTGTTGCGGGCCGCGCGCGGGCCGTGCGAGGCAGTAGCAGGCCGCGCGCGGCTCGGCGCGGGCTGCTGCGGGCCGCGCGCGGGCCTCGCGAGGCCGTAGCAGGCCGCGCGCGGCTCGACGCGGGCTGCGTGGGCTCGGCGCGGGCTGCGCGCGGCAGCTGCGAGCTGCGCGCGGCTCGGTGCGGGCTGCGCGCGGCTGCAGCGGGCTGCGCGCGGGTCGGTGCGGGCTGCGCGCGGCTGCAGCGGGCTGCGCGCGGCTCGGTGCGGGCTGCGCGCGGCTGCAGCGGGCTGCGCGCGACTCGGTGCGGGCTGCGCGGGCTCGGTGCGGGCAGCGCGCGGCAGCAGTGTGCTTAACGGTCTGCAGGGGCTGTGTGCGGGCCTGACGGGCGTGTAGAGGCGGCGCGCGGGCCTTACGGGCCTCTAGGGGCAGCGCGCTGGCCTAGGGCAGCAGGAGGCAGCGCATGTGCAGCACGTCACAAGGCAAGGCAAGGCAGGCAGGTACGTGGGGTAGCGCGGTAACCGCAGCGGTAGGTGGGCCCGAAAAAAAAACGGTCCTACGGACCTTAGTGCTCTGAAACCATGTTAGAATCTAGCAGCAGGAATGTGTGAACTAGCAGGATGCAGGAGTACAAGTAGTAAACCCTAATTTGGTTGTACCCCATATGGGCTACCCCACTACAGCCTAGACAATATGCAGCACATACAGTTTGACAGCAACTTCGGGAATGCCTTTATAACCTTTCGGTTATTCCAACAGCAAGAAACTTTCATGGTCCTCTGCATATTGATACATAATTGCAAATGTAGTCTACCTTTATAACATTAGAACCTTGGTAGCACTAGTTTCAATATCAACTTAAAGGCATGAGTAACAGACACTAACCGCAGCATAGCACTGTAAAATCCGGGCAGTGACAAAGTATGATACTAGATTGTGTGGTGGAATAATTCGCATCATTGTAGTTGTTTGCCCGTCCACTTATATAGCATGAGAGCAACATTCCACTCTATTTTCTTGCCTTCAATAACAGCGCGAGTCTTCTCTTAGGGCTTGGAACATCCTCCAAAGTCGAAACAGCTAGATCGACGATCAGATCAATCCCAACCACTGGATGCGACACCAGCCGAACTTCGTGGAAGGTGGTAGCGGAAAAAGCGGTTTCACTGGCGGTTTTTGACTACCAGCGATCCACGCCGCGCGCATCGAATAGCAAACGTTGCTTTCACGTGATACCAGGCGCTTCTTCTGCCGCGCGGTTTCTTCCTGAGCTTTTTCATCTCGACGATTCGAGAGCGCTTCGACCATGCTGCCCGCGATAATCGCTCGTATCGAGTATTAGTGACGCTGCTTCAGCTTAATTTCTGTGAGATTTTTTTTTTTCCTTACGCGTTCTAATCCCAGTTTTTCGATCTCGACGGATTGAGAACGATTCGGCCATGTCGCCCGCGATAAACGCGGAGGGGAGGAAGCGGTGCGAGAGGATCGGTTGTGACGCGTATTTCACGGACGCAGAAAACGACGACACGAGCTGCTGCTACCATCCAGGGGTAAAAACACTCCACATCATGCTTTGACGTACCAGCTAGCAGACGTAGGTAATTGTAGGTAGTTAGGCTTTAAATAGTCGCGCTCGCGGCTCAAGAGGCTTTGACGGTTGCACCTAGCCCCAGACGCGAATTTTAGTGTCCTACTGTTAAATTCAACCAGTATGGTGAGTGATCTGTTCCGTCGCTTGTCCCGACGCGCATCACTTGCCCCGTCGCTTGTCCTGGCGTGCATCACTTACGCCGTCGCATGCCCATTGCGTCACATGCACCGTCGCATGCCCATCGCATCACATGGCCCGTCGCATGCCCATCGCATCACATGCCCATCGCATCACATGCCCCGTCGCATGCCCGTCACATCACATGCTCCATCGCACGTGCACCGTTCTTGGATCCTGCACCATTTGCCTAATTCACCTCATCATCTTTCTCCAATCTTCCTCCTCCCTTCCCCATGCCCTACTCATTCCACCCCATGCCCCATCGCACATCGCATCGCTCCACATGCCCCATTCTTCTACGCGTCTTATTCACCTGTTCTCTCTCCAATCTTCTTCCCCCCCCCCCTCTTGCCCATGCCGCATGGGGTGTATGGGTTGAACACGGCATGACTTCATGGACGGCCCACAACAACAACAACACCTGCTGCTGTTGACATCAACTCGAATGGTCCTTCATCAACTCTCGCACCATCCCTTGCTTTAGCCGGTATGCTCTCCTGTCGATGCACGGATGAGCGGATGATGCGAGCTGAAGAGATGGGCGGTAGATGAATAGAACTAAGCAAGTGAAGAGGCGAAGAGAGGAAGAGATGAACGGATGATGAGAGATAGCGAGATGAAGAGGTGAAACATAAAGAGGTGAAGAGATGAACAGGTCGCGAGATGAGGAGACAGGCATATGAGAAGAGGGGCAGGTGGGCTGATGGGCTGATGGCATGTGTCTAAACTTCAGGGATGCTTGTTCTCTCTCGTCTCTCTTGACCACTTCCTCTTCGCCCCCCTCTCTCTCTCCCATGTCCCCTTGGCTCTCCACCAAAGCCCCCCACTTCTCACCAACAACCAATATTCCTCGACGGCACCAAGGAGTGCATGAGCTGTCAACAGCGAAGCCTGAAGTTCTGGCTCACTCTCTGCTCCTGCTCGCTCTCCCTCCGCCCTTGCTTCCATCCTCAGCCAATATTCCTCGACGGCACCAAGGAGTGGATGAGCTGTCAACAGCCTAGCCGCGAATTCTGAGTTACTCTCTGCTCCCGCTCCCTCTTCCCCCTCTGCTTCCATCCCCAACCAATATTCCACGACGGCAGTACCAAGGAGTGGATGTGCTGTCAGCAGCGAAGCCTGCAAGTCTGAGTCACTTTCTGCTCCCGCTCCCTCTTCCCCTTCCACTCCCCCTTCTCAGCCAATATTCCACGACGGCATCAAGGGGAGGAGTGTGTGCGTGTTGCCACAAGCAGCAAAGCCTGAGCTTTCATATCTTTTGCTGCTCCCTTTCGTCTCTCACATCCCCTCCTTCTCCCCCCACCTCTCAGCCAATATTCCACGACGGCACCAAGGAGTTCATGTGTTGCCACAAGCAGCAAAACTTGAGCGTCTGAGTCACTCTCTGTTTCCTTTCGCCTCCCACACCCCCTCCTCCTCCCACACCCCCTCCTCCCACATCCCTTCAGCCAATATTCCACGACGGCACCAAGGAGTGCATGTGCTGCCAGCAGCAAAGCCTCACTCTCTGCTTCCGTTCCCTCTCCCCCCCTCCGCTCCCACCTCTCAGCCAATATTTCACGACGGCACCAAGGAGTGCATGTGTTGCCACAAGCAGCAAAACCTGAGCGTCTGAGTCACTCTCTGTATCATTTCGTCTCCCACACCCCCTCCTTCTCCCCCCACCTCTCAGCCAATATTTCACGATGGCACCAAGGAGTGGATGTGCTGCCACAAGCAGCAAAGCCTGAGCGTCTGAGTCACTCTCTACATGCTCCCCACTCCCTCTCCCCCTCTGCTTCCATCCTCAGCCAATATTCCATGACGGCACCAAGGAGTGGATGTGTTGCCACAAGCGAAGCCACGATTTCTCGCTATTCCTCTCCATCCCAGGGTAACGCATCGCATGCAAACAATCGTATTCACACCAGGGTAATGAATGCGATTCATTCCAGCATACCTTGACACTTGTGCGTGGTTTTGTCTTATCTGCGTGCCCGCCATGCCGCCCTCATCTCTGCCTGCACGTATCTCTTTCGTTTTTGCCTTTGAGTAACTATATGACTGTGCTTGGTTTATACTCGCTGTTGATTCACGAGTGTCTTTGTTCCCAACCTTCTGCTCATGCCTTGCCCCTTTTTTTTGGGTTCCTTTACAGCTGCAAGCGAGGCAAGCACACCACTGAGAAACCCGAACCAATCACCCCTGCAGCACCAGCACCAGCACCACCAATGCCATCCCCTGTTCGAGCAGCAGGAGCGACAGCAGAGGCAGCAGCAGCACAATCATCAGCAGCAGCATCGTCACAGCAGCAGGCAGCGTGCAATCGGTGCTCTCAGGGCTTCTTCTGCTCTGATCACAGTGCACGGCAAGGTGAGTAACGTGGGCATGTGTTGTGCTGGTGAATGTGATTATAATACCAGTACACCAAGTGGCTCTTGAGTGGCAGCAGCAGGCAGCATTCAATCGATGCTCTCAGGGCTTCTTCTGTTGTGATCACAATGCGCGACATGGTGACATGGGCCCGTGCCGCTGGTGCATGTAACGAAATACCAGTACACCTGGTGATTTTTGAGTCGATTCAAAAGACAGCAAGCAATTGGTGCTCTCAGGGCTTCTCCTGCTCCAATCACAGTGCGTGGCAAGGTGAGTAACATGGGCACGTGCTGTGGTGCATGTGATCATAATCACAATACGTCATGTGACTTTGTTGAGGCAACTTATTCGGCAACACACAATCGGTGCTCTTAGGGCGAGCCTGCCATTGAAGTATGACTTCAAGTTGTGTAGGGATGAGCAAGGGGCGAACACGAACGTGTTCGTGTTCGTGTTCGCCCCTGCACGAATACGGACGTTCGCTGAACCAAACAGTGTTCGGTTCGGCGAACACTTTTAGCAAAAACTGATGTTCGGTGTTCGCCTGTGAAGGCATGTTCTGCCAAATCTCAAACACGTTCGTGTTCGACGCGGGGCAAATTGCAGCAGCGGCCCGAACACGAACGTGTTCAAGCGAACCTCGAATACGTTTGTCACGAATACTTTAAGCTAAAAAAAAACCAGTTCGGTTCACCTCGAACATGTTCGAGGCGAACCGAACAGGTGTTCGTTTCTTTGCTCATCCCTACTTCAAGCATTGACTTCGATATTGAAGATGACTCAGGGACGATGCGTGCCAGATCTGTATGGTTTGATATTGAGCATGACCCGATCATTAGAGAGAGATGAGCGCATGCTGAAGTGATGCGATTTGGTATCATTTTGTTTCACGGTATGTTACCTTCCAGATTTTTTCCCTATAAGACAGTTTCCCAAAAAACTCTTCAATTTTACTAACAACGCGGAAGTGCAGGAATGTAGATATGTGCGATTGTCGGCAGTTATTACGTTCAACAGAAGAAGTTTTTGAGGGAGTTTTAGACGTGCAGCAGTTGGTGACGTGACGGTGCACCTCCTCGATGATGTCCAACAAAAACTACCCCACGTCTTTTCTTTTCAACGTTGGGTGTCATCGAAAAGGTGCAGCGTCACTAACTACTGCACATCCGAAACCCTCTCAACAACCTCCTACGTTGAAGGTAAAAATCCTCGATAACAGCACATATCCACCTTACCCAACACTTCTCACACAGTTTGCGAAGCTTGCTGCAACTCTGCGATGCTAGTGGAATTGAAGTTTTTCTGAAGAAACTGTCATACAGAGAAATTTTTTGGAGGATAAGATGTCGTGAAACAAAATGCTATCAGCACGCATCCCTTCAGCATGTGCTCATCCGCTTCAAATGATCGAATCATACTCAACACCAAACCATACAGATGAGTCAATCATTGTTTCTGAGCCATCTTTATTATTAAATTCAATGCTTGAGCTCACACTTCAATGACAGTTTATTTAAGGTGATGTTCGTGTTCGCCCCTGCACGAACGCAGCCGTCCGCCGAACCGAACAATGTTCGATTCGGCGAACACTTTTAGCAAAAACAGATGTTCGGTGCTCGCCTGCGAAGGCGTGTTCAGGCGTACCTCGAACACGTTCATGTTTGACGCGGGGCAAATTGCAGCACGTGTTCGGACGAACCTCGAACATGTTTGTCACGAACACTTTAAGCTAAAAAAAAACGATTCGGTTCGCCTCAAAAAGGTGTTCGTTTCTTTGCTCAACCCTAGTCCTGGTCATGACAAAGTGTTTGACATGAGCACGTGCTGATGTACGCCAAGGTGACATGGGCATGTGTGTAATCATAATCTCATGACACCAGGATGTGCAATGCAGACATGGGCATGTGGCAAGCAGACAAGGCCTTCTCTCGGAGTGGAAGGATTGGCATTCCGGCGAAATCCATTGCATTTGCGCTTGACGGTTGATATGCGTTTTGACACGCGACGCTCGACTGTTATTTCCAGGCCGGCGGTACAAAAATAAAGCATCCGACAATTCATGTTCTGCCATTTTGATGTAAATCGCCAACTTCTACAACAAGATGCATGCTTGCCTCTCCACCTGTCGCGCCAGCGCCACCAGGCTCGCCACTTGCATGAAGTGTTTTCACGCTAGCATGAAAGACGCTTGGCATGAAACATGTATGCAGAGCCTGTATGTGACCACAAGCGTATGGGGCAAAGCACCACCTGGACAATTGTCTGCTCCATCCAGCCAGACCAGACATGGGCAATGGAGTGGAGTACCTCATTCTAAACTACTTCAAGCGAACTACGGAAAATGCATTTTTCAAGCTTTGATCGTCAGTCGATTCCATTAGCTGTTTGATACCTCAACAACTTCACTCCCTCCCTCTCCTCTCTACACTACACCCTGCAGCTCCATCTGCTGCTGCTCAAAGGAAACTCGTCTTATAACTACTTCACCCCCTCCTCCCCCCTTCCCTCTCCTCTCAACACCCTGCAGCTTCGTCTGCTGCTGCTCCCCCCCAGCCCTCCCAGCCGCCGTCGTGGGACATTAATGTGGAGCGCACGTGCAGCAACAAGGGGTGTGGCGCCAAGTACCGCGAGATTGACAACTCTCTTTTTGATGCCCCCCTAACCTCCTCCTTGCCTGCAGGTTCGACTGCTGCTGCTCCCCCCCAGCCCTCCCGGCCGCCCACGTGGGACATTAATGCGGAGCGCACGTGCAGCAACAAGGGGTGTGGTGCCAAGTACCGCGAGATTGACAACAGCGATGGCGCCTGCAAGCACCACCCAGGGCCTGCTGTGTTCCACGACAGAAAGCGAGGGGTGCGTTCAGGGTGGGGGAATGGTGGGGTAAATTGAGGGTGTGGGATGCGTTTAGCAGGGGTCCATTGAGGGTGCAGGGGAGGTTGAGCTGAGGTTGCAGGGGTGAATTGAGCAGGGTAAGATGGCGTATGGTGCAGCAACAAGGGGTGTGGTGCCAAGTACCGGGAGATTGACAACAGCGATGGCGCGTGTAAGCACCACCCGGAGCCCACTGTTTTCCACGACAGAAACGAGGGGTGAGTTGATGGTGGCGGGTTGCACTGAAAGTGTAGGCTAAGAGGGCGTATGGTGCAGCAACAGGGGGGTGGATTGAGGGTGGCGGGGTGCGTGGAGGTTGCGTATGGTGCAGCAACAATGGGTGTGGTGCCAAGTACCGGGAGATTGACAACAGCGATGGCGCGTGCAAGCACCACCCGGGGCCTGCTGTTTTCCACGACAGAAAGCGAGGGGTGCGCTGATGGTGTTGTGAGTGAGTTGAGGGTGGTGGGGTGATTTAAGAGTGCAGGTTAAGAGGGTGTATGGTGTCGCAATAAGGGGTATGGTGTTACTACAGAGAGATTGAAAACTCTAGCGAGGAGTGCGATGGTGGTAGGGCGAGTTGTGGGTGGTGGGGTAATTTCGCGGTGGTGGGGTGATTTGAGGGTGGTGGGCTGATTTGAGGGTGGTGGGGTGATTTGAGGGTGGTGGGGTGGATTGACAGTCCGAGTTTGCATTGAGTACACAGGCAGGGGTGTATTGCAGGTGGTAGGCTGGGTTGAGGTTGCAGGTGCGGAGTAAATTGTTAAAGGGTGAGTTGGTACATTAAGGGAGAGTGAACGCGAATAGGAGGCACGCGAGGAGTGAGGATATGTCTGTTGCAGTCATGCCATTGTAAGATGGGCAAATTGTAACACTCGGAAGAGCAATACACAGTGCATTGGTCGCATGGAATGTAGTAAGTGCATGAATTGGAGTTAGTGAATGGGTTCGAGTAACAGGATGGATTGGCGATAAGTAACTTAAGTCACTCTTCCTTTTCTGGCCATGCCTCCACCTATCAGAATGCTTCCACACCACTTCTTCACCCATCCCTGCACCCGTTTCCTTTTTCCCAGTGGCAATGCTGCGAAGTATTTGTGAATAATTTCAATGCCTTCTTTACTGTTCCTTCCTTCTCTGCCCATGCCGGTGCTCACACCCATCATCATGCCTGCACCCCTTCTCCCACCCATCCACCTGTCCACCCGTCCACCTGTTTCTTCTTCGCGAGTCCCAATGCTGTGGAGTATTTGTGAACAATTTCAATCATTCCTTGCTGTTCCTTCCTCCACATCCTCCTCTCTCTCCCCCTCCCCCCCACACCCCCAACAACTCCCCTCCTCGTGCTCCTTGACCCTTTTCTTCTTCTCCAGTGGCAATGCTGCAGAGTATTTGTGAACGATTTCGACGAGTTCCTTGCCGTTCCTTCCTTCACAAGCCATCCCCCCCACCTCCCCTCCACCCCCTCCCTTCCCCCACCCATTCCTCTTTCCCAGTGGCAATGCTGTGGAGTATTTGTGAACGATTTCGATGAGTTCCTTGCCGTTCCGCCATGTGCTACTGGTTGGCACTCTGACGAGGTGTAAACACCGTATGGGAATGGGAGGTATTGCTGTAATCGCTGTCCTCATCGGCCACGCTGGTGTGCCTAGCTTTGGCTCTAGATGCTTGCGTTTATTTTCATCTGCTATGTTGACCTCATCTTGCCAGGAACGAAACTGTTTTGGCACTTGAAGTTGACTTGAAGTACTTGCAATGCCAGAAAAGTGATTAATTTTCTTATTTAGGAGATTCAATGTAGATAAGAATGATATGGTTGTGAGTTATACAACTCTTATACCTATGAACGGTACACCGCATGGTAATTTAAATTATTCTGCGCTGGTTACCAGATAAAATCAAACCAGATAACTGACGAGGCACGGTGTAAGGATTTACAAATCCTTACTGAGGCGCTCGATAGCGAGGCCATCCCGAGGGCCACGCGACCAACTGGTTCGGCCTACAATTTCGCATCCCAACCTCACCGAGCCGCCTCCGCACCAATCGCGACACTTCGCGAGCCAACTCTACCACACCATCCCCGCCTAGCTAGGTTTTCCCCTATTTAGGCCTCGCTACTTCATTGTTCAGGCATTCGGTAGTTCAACATTCTCGTTATTCGATATCTGCGCACTCTGACAAGTTCATTCATAACACCTGGTATCAGAGCTACTTTCCTAGCCTACCCCGTTTTTTAGAGTGTATTACCCCTCGGGGGGGGGACGAGTAAGGATGCCTTGGGGTCCAGGAGTTGCGTAGGCCGGCCAAGAGAACTCGTTAGTTGCTCTTCGCGGCCATGGTTTTACGGGGCACTCCTTCGGCACCGCCAGATCCTTAGCTCGAACGGTCGCGATCGACCGTGGCCTCCCTCCCCCCGGGCAACGGACAGCTGGAGCTGTCGCGACTCTGAACGTGAGTTACTATTTCCGCTGCGGTTTTAACGACGATTTCGAAACTGTGAGGCAGCTGGCGTCAGCGGATCTGCGTCGGCACCTGCACGAAGATTTCGGAAGTCGTCACGATGTGTGGCAGTTGACGCCGTCGGACCCGAGTCAACAACTGCTGCGACAACTTCGGAGTCCGTCCCATGCGGCAAGTGACAACGGTGGCTCGTCGTCATCATGCGCGCGCGACTCACGGAGTGTGGCTCGGCAGCTGGCGACAAGGAACGTGCGTCACTGTGGCGAAAATTTCGGAGCTTCTGTTGAAGAAAACGTCGGCTGGGGAACTCGCCAGGCGCAAAAGGAGTTTGCGTCCGAAAATGTCGGTGGCGAGGAGAGACGACACAAGACTGCCCGACTTCGCGGGAGTTAACTGCCGTCCCGCCCGACCTGTTAAGTGCGGCAGCTTTTACTGCATTGGCGGGCGCGTCATCAACAAATTCGGCAGGAGTGCTCGTGGACAGACGGGACTTCATACCTGCTGACGCTTACGGGCTGCAACGGAAAACGCGATGGCTAAACCGCACTTACGAGGAGTGGGACGCAGGCGACGAGGGAAATCGGGGCAGGTACACCTCGAAAGAACTCGTGCGACGCTGCGTGCCTGGTGTTGTTGCAAGCTGGCCGGCAGTATCGAGAACAGTTTCCCCTGACCAAGGATGTTGTTTTCGGGGACAGCTGCTGACAACCCACGGTTAAACGGTGTCCAAGGTACCGCCCGATAATTTCGGAGGGGTCGGTACAGGCTGCCGGGACACGCGAGAAGAAACGGCCCAACGGCTAAGCGGGGGTTGAAGAACGTTGCGGGGGCAGATTAAAAGCCGGTGGAATCGCTCTGCGGCCCTACTTCGCCCGAACCTCACCATCCCCACCAAGTCCTGGTTCTGACTCATGCAGTCAACCTACTTGGCCGAATAACGGGGGTGAACACGTGGCCTACCCTGCGCTGGTTAAAGGTACCGGGTTTGGTGCCCGTTCGACAGCTGTACAGAAAAAATACAAAAAAATAAAAGTGGAGCTCGCGGCACTGTTCTACTCCGACAAAAGCGGACTGGGTGAACGGCACGCGAAAAAATCAGGGAGCTGCGAAGAAGAAATGGTGCAGTCTACAGGTTTCTCCTGACCCGGGCGTCTACACGAATCGACGGCGCGGCGGCGAAGCTGAGACCGGGAAGCTGTGGATTTTACGTGACGTGATAGGCACGGCGGGCTGCAAAACGGTTGGGCGACAGTTTCCTTTTAACTAAGGCTGCCCCGACTCCGATAGTTTTTGCCTCTCCACCGTGGCCGAGTTCGCGTGGGCAACAACGACGATACCCCATCCGACAAAAGCGGACGCTGGGTGAACGGCGGGAAGCGGAATTGTCGGGGGGTGAATACGAAAAAATTGATGACGGAAGGGAAAGTTGTGGGTGATCCAGCAGATCACTTGAGTGATAGGTTGAGCCCGTGCACCAATCTACCGCGAATTTCGGAGTCTATTCGGTAGACCCCCGAAAGGGTTTGATATCGTTACATGGAGGCGCGGCGAGCGGTACATTGCCAAGGATACCTGGGATTCGCTAAGTAGTCCGGCGGGTACGAAGATGGGTGAACATCGGAGTACCAGGGAAAAAACGGCGGAAACGTCGGGGCTATACGGCGGAGAATAACTTCGGGACTGCAGCCTCAACCACGATTTTCGGGGTTATCTTCCTACGAAAAAAAAAGGAGTTGAAGCTGAGGGTGTTTTCTTCGTTTCTTGGAGTGCGGTTGATACCTAGGACCCACGGGTGTTTAAACGTACACCGCGGGAAATTCTTCAGGGAGCGTGGGAGCAGCCGAGGCTTCGGGATTTACCTGCCGGTGACGCGCGATGAGGTGAAACATCGCAAAGCGCCAGTGGGAGTTTGCGTGGTTTTCAGTTAAGCGACATCGACGGGAGCAGTTTCGACGACGGGGTCAACGGCGTTGATGCCTCTAGGTTCCGTGAAATTCGGTCTCGGAAGACCCAGGGCAGTCCCCGGTTCTCGATTTAACCCACATGCTGGGGTCGGGTAACCGAAGGAAACTGATGGTGACCGGGTGGGCGGCTATAGCACGTCTGAGATTTTCGGAGGAGAACTGCACCTAGACCTGTGGATTTACGGGGCTACTTCTCGAGCGACGATTTCGGAGTTTGACGAAGGACTTCACGGTTTTACGGCGAAAGCGCGGCAATTTTGTGGCAGTACTTTCGAAGTTTGGTTACACGCGCGCGAAATTTACGCAGGGCAACGGCGCGGGAACTACACGGACTTTTCAAGGGGTACGAACGACTTACGACGAACTGGAGAAGGCGGCGGCAACAGTGACGGGGGGGGAGAGACAGCTGCAAATTTTCATCCCTGCCCACGAACTCTCGGCGGATTACGACAAAATTCTTGGAGAATCCATCCCAACTCTGCTTCCAACAACTCGCCATCGACCCGCCCACGACAAACATATTTAATTTCAGCCACGTCAGGTGCTGCCAGCTGCAACTGCTGCGGATGCTGCATGATTCTGGCGATGTGAAGACAAAAAGCTTCAGTTCGAGTACTCGGCAATTTCGGTTTCGGTTTCTGGTCTACTTTCGCTGGTTCGCCCTTGACGACTTTTGGGCACGTAATTCCTGGTTTCGACATCGACATTTCCACACCGACGCATTTTCACTTGGGTTCCTTCCATCAACGGCTTCCTTCGTGGGACTTAACACCCGGTTTTGTTTGTTTTCATCTCGGCGCAGCTGCTGGAACTTTTATGGTGTGTTTTCTTGGAGTGGGGGAGAAAGTGCTTCGCACTGTTCTTTCCTTGGCGTTTTCTTGGTCCTTTTCTGACTTTGTCAGGTTGCGACAGCACGACGGACGACCGCGATCACACCGACACGATCTACGGTTCCTGCTCAATTGCGTTTGAATTCGCGTCAGCAGGTTCCCTCCCTTTTCGCATCTGCTTCGACCGTCGGATCTACAGCATATGCATCTACGGCTCACAATCCAACTTTCATTACAATTGAGGTCACTTCATCTTCGACCGTCAGATCGAAATCTGACAACATCAACGGCCGACATTCCAACCTTTTCAACAATATTGTCTGGGGCATTTCAGCCGTCGGATTCAGCTGAAGTGAAGATCAACGGCATCCTCGCTACTGGGTGACCCTTTTCAGTACAGGGCTGCCTTATTTAGGAGGTGGGAGAGTGTAAGGATTTACAAATCCTTACTGAGGCGCTCGATAGCGAGGCCATCCCGAGGGCCACGCGACCAACTGGTTCGGCCTACAATTTCGCATCCCAACCTCACCGAGCCGCCTCCGCACCAATCGCGACACTTCGCGAGCCAACTCTACCACACCATCCTCGCCTAGCTAGGTTTTCCCCTATTTAGGCCTCGCTACTTCATTGTTCAGGCATTCGGTAGTTCAACATTCTCGTTATTCGATATCTGCGCACTCTGACAAGTTCATTCATAACACACGGCATCCGTAACGAGCTCACACAACTGTCGAGCTGTCGTGAATGGTGTAAAACAGCCATAGTTGAGGTCCGCTGGTACTGTACCGTAACCTCAGGTCAACAAACCCTATCCCATCGCTCGTAAGCTCATCATCATTCCCTCCCTTGCTACCCCCGCCACAAGTTCCACATGAGATAATATTCACACCAGGCCCCCACATCCGAGGCCATTGGCCATGGCCTCCACCGACCAGCTTCGCGGCGCGAGCGAGCGACTCTCACGCTCATCCATTACCATTCCACCTGCAACACGCAATGCCACCCTTTCAACTGCAATTGAAGTCCGTGAATCGTGATGTGATGCCCAACACCGCCAGCCATTTCTGAACCACCATCCGCGCTTCCGCTCGTGTCTTCCTAAAACGGGTTTTATTTCTAGACGTGAGGAAAGGCTATAAGTTAGTGGAGGTCTCTCTTGCCGCTACCATCGCGGCGCGATGAAGCCCGCAGCAGCCATTCTGCTTGGCGCGCTGCTGCTGCTGACGTGTCGCGCGGTCTCTCGTGTCGAATGCGTGCTTCTCGCCAAGTCCCAGGGTGCGTGCCGGGGCGCAATCGGGATAACTGTTGAGCTAAATAATCATAAATGTC